GGACCTGAGGGTGCTGGTTGACAGCCACTGAACACGAGCCAGCAGTGTGGCCAAGGTGGCCAAGAGCATCCTGGCCAGCGCCAGAAATAGTGTGGCCAGTAGAACTAGGGCAGTGATAGTCCCTATGTAGTTAGCACTGGTGATGCCACACTTCAAATACTATGGCCAGTTTTGGCCTCTTCACTACAAGAAAGACACTCAGGTAACAAAGCTGGTGAAGGGGCAGGAGCACAAGTCTGATGAGGGAGCTGGGGTGGTTTAGCCTGGAGAAAAGGAAGTTCACAGGAAACCTTATCACTCTCTACAACTGCCTGAAAGGAGGTTGTAGGAAGGTGGGAGTCAGTCACTTCTTCCAGGTAACAAATGACAGGACAAGAGAACATAGCCTCAAGTTGTGCCAGAGGAGGTTTAGATCAGATATTAGAAAAAAATTCTTGACTGAAACAGTTGTCAAGCACTGGAACAGACTGCCCAGGGAAGTGGTAGAGTGACCATCCCTGGAGGGATTTAAAGGGTGTGTAGATGTGGTGCTTGGGATGTGGTTTAGTGGTAGATGAGGCAGTGCTGGGTTAAAGGTTGACCTTAATGATGTTCAAGATATTTTCCAACCTAAACAATTCTCCAGTTCTAAAATTTGTTAAATATGTGTTTATAAAAAGCAAAACCTTAGGTTTATTATTTCATAGAATTGATTCAGCTGCTGTCTTCAGATTTCTATTTTTGTGTCTAGGATATATTTATTTTATTTTTTTATAGCAGCCTGTTAAATTTCTTCATTTACAGGAGTTCTTCAGAAAACTACCGTATGCCAGTGATGGAATACAAAGTGAATGATGGAATGCCATATGAATTCAAATTTCCCTTCAGAAATAATAATAAATGGCAGCGAAATGCAGGCAAAGGGCAGGGACCTCATGTGGCTCAGGTACCATCCCAAATACAAAGTCCAGTACCATCTAGGATTGGCGCTGGGAAAGGAGAAGGGAAAATGGCACCCCCAGAACGAGCAGCCAACATTCCCCGGAGCATCTCCAGTGATGGGCGCCCGTTGGAGAGCAGGAGGTATGTGGCTTTTCTGCTAATGCCTTTTCGTTGCTGCTCAGAACCTTGTCTGGAAAAATGCGCAGCAGTTTTGTCTAAGTATCTAAAGACTGCTTTTAATCTTGGTTTTAATTAGTCAGAAGACAGCATGAGTATGAGTGAAACAATAGCCAAAAGGAAATACCTTTCCTGGCATGGCTAACCACAAAATGAATTATTCTGAGATTGGATATTAGTCTGAAACTGCTGTATTGTGATTTAAGTTTTAAGTGAGTCACAGTAGAAGTTTTAGAGCTAAGTCTTCAAGAACTTCTGCATTTTGAGAAAGTAAATCAAAAATGTATCTTGTTCATGGGCTTGCTGGAATTGCCTAGAGCACCCA